TAAACTAGTTGGTTGACTTCTCACCGATTAATTTTAATCTATGTTTGGATTTATTTTCTTTATCATTGGAAGTTAATTTAGCCTCAATTTTGGTTTAGATACAAAAATTGATAAAAATAATCTAGATAAAAGTCACAATTAGAGTCTGTTCGGTAATGATTATGAGAATTATTTTTTGATTATTAGAGAGAAAAGTGAATTTTACTTGTGAGTGAATAAATAAAATGACGGTTGAAATAATGAAATCATTGTCAAAAAATTAATTTTTCAAGGTAAAAAGTCCGAACCAAATGGGGCTTAGTTTCATCACATATTTTATGAGTCAACAACTTCTCAATCATACATTATATCAATTTTTATAAAAATCTTTTTAAAATCTGATTTTAATCTAAAGAAATAAGAGCTTAATCTTATTGATTATGAATCAATTGACCTATTTGGGAGTCGCGGGGTAGCTTAGTATTAAAATTTAATGCCCCATCTAAATCTTTCAATCAAGTCTCAATAATTAAAAAATACTATGTCAAATATTATAATGCAATATAATATTTATGGTGTGATTTATTTTATTTAGCTATATATAATGATACTAGTGAGGCAAAGTGCGTTGCACATTAGTTGCTTTAGTTGGGGTGAACGTGAAATATAAGTGTGTAATGATTGTTGAATGAATATATAGAACAAATGTTTTGGTACAGTGATGAAGTGGAATAGTTTGAATAAACACAAATGCCTATATTTCAACTATGAGAGGAAAGGAAGAAAAAGTTGACCTTCATCATCTGGATTAGTTGTACCAAAAAAAAAAAAAAATCAACATACCAAAAGAAAAATACTGTTAAGCACCATTAGTATTTTTAAACACAGATTGTAATGTTGGTTCAACTATCATCCAACAAATATAACAAACATAAAAACAATTATTCACAAAAAAAAAAGAAATCAAAGAAATTCAAGCAAATAGATGTGAAAAACGACAACCCTTGGTTTTTTTGTACAATGGCAATTTTTTTTTTCCCTTTTTTTTCTTTTTGTTGCTTGATTTGGGGCTCAATTTGAGGAAACACTAACTAATAAGCACAAATTTAACTCTAATTTAAGGAAACTCCAAATCTAATGTGAGACACAGCTCGCCTTCCATTATTGTCTAATTATGAAACTAGAAATTTGAAGATATTAATTTATTAAAGATGTGAAAATATTAAACGATACTTATATATTCTAAAAATGATAAAAACAACAGAAGCAAAACATTAGAATATCAATAACAACCAATGAATTTCATGAGAAATATACCAAGAAATAATATCACCAAGTTAGATTTATAGGTTTGTGTTGAAAAAACAATAAATGATATCTCTTAACTGAGCCTGTAGACTTTGTAGCATAAATGCGACAGAACATGAATAAGAAGATTAAGACATGGATCAAGATAAAAATTATAAAAAGAAGTTAGATCCTTTGTGTGTATGTTTCCAAAACCTTAAAACTCACCTTTTCAACTAACGGGTTTACAAATATTCACAGCCCTTGCAGCCTCATAAATGACCTTTCCAGAAAAAGCAACCGCCCAAAATAAGAAACGTACAGGAATTGCATCTGCAGCAGTTCTTGTTGCATCTCATTGTATAGAAGTTGCAGAAGATATGGGAGCTGATCATGAACAAATCTTATCAGTCGTCAATTTAGCAATCAGTGCAAGAACTAATGGCGATATAATGACACTAACTGCTGGAACTTCTACAGGTGTAAATTTAATTGTTGTCATAGATTACATTGATCTGAATCTTAAAGTAAATCAACTTAGTGTATGGAATGACCCCAAAACCTAACCCACATTCCTTCATGACAAAACCCCATATATTTCTTGCTTTAGACGGCATCACATCCGCCTATTTTCCTCAATACCCAAAATTTTTTAAACAAGTCCACCAATCTTCCATTACCACACAAAGCCGAAATAGGTTTAATAAGTTTGCTTACAGACTTTTCTCTTAAAAAACAATACAAATGCTTCATCAAAAAGACCTTTAGCCCCTCATTATAGTATTAAAATAACATTCCTGATTGGAAAATCAAGCCTGTAAGAAGTCTCAATAGCCTCTTCAATACTTATGACTTCATGCAAATTTGAATGAAGGAGATGCTGTTTTTGTGTCGTCGACAGCTTGCCTCCCATTAATTAATAATAAATAAGAAATCCTTATTGTCCTTCCATTATAGTTGGAGTAAAGCATAGAAACCAATCAGACTTACCAGTGACTGCCTGACATCATCAGAAGAAAACCCAAGATGTCTTCTTAAATCTTATTTATTTTCTGCTTTGCCCTTAATATCACAAGCATTGATTAAAATAACATCCCATCTTCAAATTATCTTCAAATTAATGTAGACAGTGATTAATTAATTAAAATAGTGTTATTACTTTACTCCCTTGTTCATACTATCAAAATCAGTTTGACAAGCAAGTAATATCAATTAAAACTAAAAATCAAGCTATTTCAATTCACCATTAAAAGGCAAATGATGAATACTAACAGCAATATTAACTAAATGCTACAGATTAACAACTTTCAGAAAAAAGAAATGAAACTAAAACTAAAAATCAAATTATTTCAATTCACCATTAAAGACAAACCGGCTTATTAACTAAATGCTACAGATTAACAATTGTCAGAAAAAAGAAATGAACACATTTCAATCCAAATCGTAATTATTAAATCCTTAACTCTGACTTAAGAATCGAAGAAGAAAGGAATGGGTTGTATGAGTTCAAGATTACACCCGGTAAAATTAATCAATCACATTACCTTAAAATCGGCAAATGAAGCTGCCAATTTTGATGATACTGTTTATGATGTAGTGAGAGAGTTTACAGAAAATTGTTAGACAGAGAAAATAAGAGAAGAACGGCGATGAATGTCTCTGTTATTTTTTTTTACCAACAACAATGGGAAAAAAAAAGGGAAAAAAGAAAAAGATAGAACGGAAAAAGAAAAAAAAAGAAAAAGATAGTCATTTTTTGTTACGAAAAAAAAAATTCAAATGTATAGCTCTGTGCTCGCATGTTGCTCCGTGCATTGTGCACAGAGCAAAGCAACTGCTCCGTGCACAACGCACGGAGCCATATATTTATTTTTTATTTTTTTTAAACTCCCCATTCCTTCTTGCACGCAACCACTCTTTCTCCAAGCAACCTCATTTCTTGCAGACAAACTTTCTTCTCCATCATTATTTTCGTTCGCCCCTAATTTCATTTCCAATACAATAACAACTGTACAAAAAGATACCAACTTCAAAATTTTACGAAGTGATGAATAGCATCAGAAAAGAAATGAATATAGAAAATTGAAGAATTCTTGAATTTACCTAAAGTTAGAAAGAGTGATGCCGTGAAAATTAAATCCCTTCTTAAATGTCGGGATTAGTAATAGGTTTTTTGAAACCAAGTCGAAGCACACATATTGCCAATCAAGATGAAAGTTTATAGGTACAATAAGTTTCTAATTAACTCTTTGGAAGAAAGAGAGAGAGAAAATGGAGAAATCACAAGAGAAAGAGAGAGGAAGCGAAGTTATCGTTGTGGGAATGGGAGAAAAAACAATTCCGTACATGACGACAGGACAGGAAGCAAAGTTATGGCTGTGGGGATGATGAACTTGCGTGCAAAAATGGAGGAATACAGGAATGGCGTGAAGCGGGAACAAAGGAAAAGGAAGGGTTAAAAAAAAAACAATGCCGTACATGACGATACATTTGCACGACATGTGTCCCAACATTCCTTCGCTCTTTTACTTACGTTGGATATTCTTTTTTTTTTTAGAAAATACTATCTTTTTATAACGACAATATAAAATAGATTTTATATAGTCTGGTGGGCAAAGTGTAATTACAAGGGCGTGTTCCGTATATTTCCAATTCAAAAGTGATGGCTTCTCGAGTCTTGACCAACGCCGTGTGGACCAATCTATCAACGACGACACCCAACTTTTTACTTTAATTTTACTCCCAAAATCCAAAGCCCTTAATTGCAACCGGAACTGATTTTCATCAATCAATTGATCAATTAAATAGCCGAATTTAAAGCTCTATTTTGGAGATTCGGAGGTATTGTAACATAGTTTATTTCTCTT